GGCTAAGCGGCTTTGCCGCGGGGCGCTGTGGGCTGCTGGGTGGAGAGCTGCCGCGGGAAGGATGTGTGGGAAGCTCTCGCGCCCCATCCTGGACTTTGCATCTATGTTGGCGTCTAGAGCGGCATGCTGCCGGCCAGCAGGGACGAGGATGTAAATCTCCGTTTAAGAATTCTTGAAAAATCAAAGACTTACAGACCTAACAGAGAAAGAGAAAGCAGGACACGTGGGTTGATTGAATTGACGAGGAGGCCACGGAGTTGGGATTCATGGAATGTCGGATGCGTGAGAGCTAGGACTCTGGCTCCCGAGCGTGGCTCGGTGCTGAAAGGTCGGAGGGCCTGCCGGCAGTTCTGGAGCGGAGCTGGGAGCCCAATCCAGGGGGTTCTGTTTACAGACCGAGCCGCGACCCAGGCTGGGTTTCTGGCTGTGCGACCTGAGCCAGCTCAGAGCCTGAGTTTCCCCAAGTATAAAAGGAGGACCCCACTACCTTCCTTTCAGGGTTGTGATAATGATCAGAGGTAAGGGAAGAAGCACAAAACCCAAGCCCTTCCTCTCCCCATCCCTGAGGCCTCTGTGTGGGCCTGGCACACAGTAGGGCTGCAGCCAGCTTTTGTTTTCATTGTAATAAAATACACGTTAACAAATTCTACCGTCTTACCCATGCATAAGTGCACAATTCAGTAACTTCCCACTGTTGTATGACCCCACCATCCATTTCCGGAACTTGCTCATCTTCCCAAACTAAAACTCTGTCCCCATTAAATACAACTCCCCCGACTCCCACCCCAGCCCCTGGCAGCCACCATCCGACTTCCTGTCTCTGTGAATTTGACCCCTCCAAGTCCCTCATCTGAGTAGAATCACACAGTATTTGTTTCCCTGGTTCGTTTCATTCAGCGTGGCGTCCTCGAGGCTCCATCTGTGTTGTAGCGTGCACCGGGAATTCCTTTTCAAGGCTGAATAATATTCCACTGTATGCGTAGACCACGTTTTGCTTATGTGCTGCGGTGAATATGGGTGTGCAAATATTTGTTCGGGCCACTCTTTTTAATTCTTTTGGGCGTATACCCAGAAGTGGGATTGCCGAGTCATATGGTAATTCTAGTCATCATTTTTTGAAGAACCTCTAGACAGTTTTCCATGGCAGCTGTACCGAGTTTCATCCCCACCAACTGAGCACGAGGACTCCGATTTCTCCACCTCCTCTCCAATACTTGCTGCTTTCTATTCAGCTAATATTTTTTTGAATGGATGGGCGCACGCATGCGTAGCTGGTTGCTCTCCCTGACAGTTTACTCAAGTGCTTGTTATTTGAAAGCACGAGTGAATTATGCAGTAGCACCGGCCAGACGAACCCAGTTCTGGAACACATGGAAGCTGGGAGCAGAGCCCCCCCGGGGTGGAGGTGGGGGGAGGACAGGCTGGAGGCTGCTGCCCAGGGCCAGAGGCGGCCTGGCTGGGAGGGCGCGGAGGCCAAGTGGGCCCACCCTCAGGACAGGCGCAGCCCTGGTGGCTCCTTCTGCCCTTGCTGGCTTTGGCTGAAGCCAGGGTTATTTTGGGTCTGGTGGGAGCCACACCTGTGACTCACACCTCCTGCCTGCCTGCTGGCTGGCAGGGCTGCCGTCTGTCACTCTGGCCTTGGGCGAGCCACTCTACCTCTCTGGAGCTATTTCCTCTGAGTCTGGAAAATGGAGATGAGTGTTCAGACGCATTCACCTTGGTGAGGGATGAGAGGGTCTGGCCCTGAGTCAGCAATCAGCTGTTCTTGATTTGTAAACAAGCGGGAACATTTTGCGGGTGAGACTCGGAGCTCAGAGAGGGGAATCGGGGCTCTGGTGGCACAGCTGGGTCTCTTGACACCATCTTGGGCTCGGTCTTTCTAACTAGACACTTATTGAGCACCTTCTGTATGCCAGGCATTCTGTGTGTGTCTTTGTGTGTCTGTGGGTGAGTGGAGGTGGGTCGAGGAAGGGGGGGGACACCCAAAGGTGGCAGAGCTCCCATCCCGAGGGGCTGCTGCTCCCAGGCCCTGTGCACGGCCTGGCGCCCGCGCCCCCCCGCCCCAGGGATTCTCGGCCCCCGGCCCAGCGAGCCCCCTCCGCCCGCAGGATGATGCAGGAGCTGTGCTGCCGCAACCAGCTAGAGGAGCTGCTCTGCGCCGCTGGGATCAACCTGGCCGGCGAGGGAGACGGCTGCCCCGCCCCACACGACAACGCCAGCCTCGCAGCCATGTTCGTGAAGGTGAGCCTCTGCGCCCCCGACGGCAGGCCCCGGGCCCCTCCCAGCTCAGCAGCCACTGTCCATTAGCAGGGGGCCTCGGGGGCTCTCCGCCTGTGCCCCAGCTCCATGCCCCCTTTCCTTTGAGAAGCAGGGGGTGCCCGGCCCAGGAGGGAGGAGGGACCACTGAAGTCTCCTCGTCTCCTCCATTTTAATCAGTAAACCCCAGACCACACCCCGGGCTCAGTCCGGCACTAGGGAGGCAAGGAGGGGGTGACTAGCCCCGCCCTGGGCGCCTCCAGTCCTGAGGCTTCGAGTAGGAACCCAGGGGCCAGAGCAGGGCTTACCTGGGCTCAGGACCCCCCAGAACCCTCTTCTCGGTTCAAGCTATGTACCCCGCCCCGCTCAGGAGGCCCGCAAGCTTCTCTGCCCTCTGGGGCTAGTTGGAGCCCAGAGCTCAGAAAGGGCCCCCACTAAGGCCTCTGATAGCATGACCTCTGTAGCCACCCTAGAAGAGAAAACCGAGGTTCAGGGAGGCTCACGTGCCAAAGTGTCTGGGGGTATCTGGTGAGGCAGAGCTAGAAGTAGGGTCCATCAGGCCTAGGGAGAGTCCTGCACTGCAGGTAAGCTTTGAGTAAATGATGTAATCCATCGTGGGACCCAGGTCCTGGCCAGGTCACTCAGGGTCCCCACCGTGGTGGCCGGCGTGCATCTGCACGTGGGTGTGGGGAAGCCCCCGACAGCGCCCCAGGTCTGAAACCGCATGGACACTAACGAGGTGTCCAGGCTGCCCCTCCCTTGCCACCTCCGGAGGGGAGAAAGCAGGCCGGCCGGGGCTCAGGGTTGGAAAGCATCCTGGTCGGCGGGGTTTCCACTGGGGGTGCCAGATGACGAAAGGGAAGTTCCTGGAAGAAAGATGCCCTTTTCTCAGAGGGGGGGGCGCCGGAGCCGTTCCGGGGAGTCGGAGTCGGGGCGAAGTTTGGGTGGCGTGAGGGGCTCTGTGGGTTCTTTTCTGGGGAGTCTGTCTCCATGCAGATTCGGGTGTGGGGGGAGATCCCCACGTGAGGAATTGGGGGTCCAGTGTCCCTCTGCCTCCCCTCAGGCATCGTGCCCTTCTGTGGGAGGAGGCAGCTGACACCTGAGCCGGGCAGGGCAGGGTAGTCTGCTGGGGGGCGGGGGGCCCTGGGGGCTGGTCCCTTGGGCATTTAGTGACTGCCTCCTGGGCAAGGCGGGGCTCTGCAGACACCGTCTGCCTGGCGGGATAGCTCTGGCCGAATCTCCAGACTTAAGAGAAAGGGAGGTATGGGAACAGCATGGGGCATTCTAATGGAATGGGAATGGACAGCGCTGGCAAAGAGTGATGGGTGTTCCCGGGAAGGGTGACTCGTGTCCCACAAGGTGACGAGGTAGCTAAGGCTCTGCTCTTTCTGGCAGCTGAGGTTGAGGCATGAGCAGGATGAGAGACCCACCAACCTCCGCAGAAGCAGAAGCAGAGCTTTGCCTCCCGGCTCCTGCTGTGGACCTTTTGGAAAGTCCTGGGCTCTTAGGATAATAAGGACTGAAAGGGTTTTTCACACGTCAGGGTGAATATCGCGAGGATTCTGATATGACTTTTGGGAACACTGGGGTCCAGGTGACAGGCAGAGACTCTGTCCCTCGCTTGATGACTTGTCTTGAAGTTCCTGTGTTTTTTAAATGCATGATGCCACCCTTGCCACCCTGGGCGCAGTAGAGAAGCCTTAGACCGTGCAAGGGGAATGGAGCAGGCGGCTCT